TGGAGAATAAAGGTCCTTCAATCAATCAATCAAATTTATTTATATAGCCCATTATCACAAATGTTACATTTGTCTCAGTGGTCTTCACAGTGTGTACAGAATATCAGTATGACAATACGACACCCTCTGTCCTTAGACCCTCACATCGTACAAGGAAAAACTTCCGGAGAAACCTCAGGGAGAGCAACAGAGGAGGGATCCCTCTCCCAGGACGGACAGACGTGCAATAGATGCCGTGTGTAAATTGAAAAGATAATACATTTACAACATAGGTAGTCCAAATGTTTGGAAATGCATGTGTGTATAATAGGAAGATGAAGCACGAGGATATCCATCCAGGACCTATGATCCAGGACCACAGCCACGACTCAAGATCCAGGGCTCGCGATCCAGAACACAGGACCGCAGGATCATCCATGACTCCGGATCCCGGCGTATATAGACACCAAAAAGAAAGACATTTGGCGAAGCTGGGTTAATCGGAACATGAGAGTACACAGGTATAGACAGAGAGAAGGAAGAAGTAATATGTCCCCCGACAAACTAAGCCTATATCAGCAAAACTAGGGGCTGAATCTAATCAGCCCTAACTATAAGCTTTATCAAAAAGGAAGGTCTTAAGCGCATTCTTAAAAACGGATAGGGTGTCTGCCGCCCGAACACAAACTGGAAGCTGATTCCACAAATGTGGAGCTTGATAAGAAAAGGCTCTGGCCCCCATTGTACTTTTAGAGACTCTAGGAACAACCAACAACCCTGCATTCTTGGAACGCAATGCCCTAGTAGGACAGTAGGGTATAATGAGTTCTTTAAGGTAAGATGGCGCCTGCCCATTAAGGGCTTTGTAGGCGAGAAGAAGCATTTTAAATTCTATCCTGTATTCTATAGGGAGCCAGTGTAAGGCAGCCAGAACAGGAGTAATGTGGTCCCTTTTCCTAACCCTGGTTAGTACATGAGCTGCAGCATTTTGAATCAGCTGAAGCGACTTGACTGACTTCTTGGTACACCCTGATAATAAAGAGTTACAATAATCCAGCCTTGAAGTAACAAATGCATGGACTAGTTTCTCTGCATCGTTTTGAGGCAAGATATGCCTGATTTTTGCAATGTTACGTAGATGGAAGTAGGCGGTCCTTGAAATTGATTTTATGTGGGCGTTAAAGGATAAATCCTGATCAAATATAACACCAAGATTCCTTACAGTCTCACTGGAGGCCAAATTAATGCCATCCATAGTTAGTATATCTTTAGATAATTTGTTTCGTAGATTCTTCGGGCCAAGTACAATAACTTCAGTTTTGGTCGTGTTTAACATAAAAAAAAAATGTAAGGTCATCCACGTTTTTAAGTCCTTGAGGCAGTCTTGAATTTTATTTAGATGATTAATTTCATCAGGCTTGATTGATAAATATAGTTGAGTATCATCCGCATAACAATGAAAGTTTACAGAATGATTCCTTATAATATTGCCTAATGGAAGCATATATAATGTGAACAAAATAGGTCCGAGCACTGAGCCCTGTGGCACTCCATGGCTAACTTTGGTTTGCGTGGAAGATTCATCGTTAACACGTACAAACTGAGAGCGTTCAGATAGATAGGACCTAAACCAGTCTAAAGCAGTTCCCTGTATGCCAACTAAGTGCTCTAGTCTTTGCAATAAGATATCATGGTCGATAGTATCAAATGCAGCACTGAGATCGAGCAAAACAAGAATAGAGACGTGTCCCTTGTCTGAGGCTATTAGAATGTCATTTGTGACTTTAACCAGAGCTGTCTCTGTGCTATGATGTGTTCTAAAGCCAGACTGAAAATCTTCAAATAAATCATTGTTTTTTAAGTAATCACACAACTGTTTTACGACCGCTTTCTCAAGAATTTTTGAGAGGAACGGAAGATTGGAAATAGGTCTATAATTGGCTAAAACCTCTGGATCGAGGTTGTGCTTTTTAAGAAGCGGTTTTATCACTGCTACTTTGAATGATTGTGGAACATAGCCTGATAATAAAGACATATTCATAATATTTAATAAAGGAGTGCTAATTAATGGAAAAACTTCCTTCAACAGCTTAGTTGGAATTGGGTCTAAGATACACGTTGATGGTTTAGAAGAGAGAATCATTGAATTTAATTGTTCAAGGTTTATGGCTGAAAAGCATTCTAGTTTACTATCTAGTGTAATATTAGAACTTACGTTTCCGGGAGCTGTTGATAACACTATACTGGTCAAAGGCAAGAGGTCATTAATTTTGTTTCTAAGAGTAACAATTTTATCGTTAAAAAAGCACATAAAATCATTACTACTGAGTGCTATGGGAATAGAAGGCTCAATCGAGCTGTGGCTCTCAGTCAGCCTGGCTCCAGTGCTGAAAAGAAATCTTGCATTATTCTTATTCTCATCTATTAATGAAGAGTAGTAGGCTGCTCTCGCTTTACGCAGTGCTTTCTTATATTCATTGAGAGTAATATGCCAAATTAAACGAGATTCTTCAAGTTTAGTAGAACGCCATATCCTTTCAAGTTGTCTCGACTTTTGCTTTATTTTGCGGGTTTCGGCATTATGCCATGGAGCTAATCTATGTTGTTTTATTTTCTTCTTTTTCAAAGGAGCAACAGAGTCTAATTTTATTCGCAGCGCATCTGTAGCACTATCAACAACATGATCAATTTGGGGTGGTGTACATTTTGTATACGTTTCCTCCCTTACATGCAGACATGCTATCGAGTTAAGTATTTGTGGAATCTCTTCTTTAAATTTGGCTATAGCACTAACAGATAGGTTTCTGCTGCAGGAGCTTTTGACTAATGCTTTGTAGTCTCGTAACAGTACTTCAAAAGTTACTAAGAAATGGTCGGATATGGTCCTTCTTATCTTATTTTGTCTTTTGTTCTTTGTCATGCTTATTTGAAATATTCTGGAAATGAGTCCTCATGAACCTGTCTTCAGATGTCAACTGATAAACCAAGATGGCCGTCTTTAGATGTGCACTTCTGTCCTCCATCAGCTCAGTGTGATATAATATATATATCATATAATAGCTCTCCTCAGGCTGAAGGAGAGGACTCTATTTTGATTCTCTTTGTGCAAGTGTTTCCCCAGAGTGCTGGAGATGGGGCACAAAAAAGACCATCTTAGCCGAAGGATGCCATGGCGAACAGCTTCTCCACGTCAACTTCTTTCTTTCCAAAGTCCTTGAGAAGCACATGTCAAATATTTCCCCCTGAAGCTCGTCCCTGTGCACGACCATGAATGGTCTTCTTTATAAAATGAAGCCAGAAATACCAATATATCAGTAGCCTACAGCTAAATAATTCCCCCCCCCCCTAAAGAGCAGACACCTTACAACTTCACAAAGGCAGATGGGGGTCCTTGCACCGCGCTACAACTAAATGTGGCCTTATTCTAATGAAGTAGATGAGTTCATTAGTGCTCTGGGGCTCCGTGCTGTCTGCAGAGGTCAGTGAAGGCCTCACTGGATCATCCTCATTACATCTCACTGGGCGCTGCCTCTTAAACAGATGGATAAATGGAAGTCAGCTCCATTCCTGCTCGTACCTCTGCTCAGACCCAGCACTCACCAGGAACAGGCCTCAGTGAAATCCATTTCATTACATGTATCAATAAAACAGCACCGGCAGCTCTTTCCAAGTTGGGATTCAATGCTCTGATGAGTGGACAACACTGCCATCTAAAGGATGAAGATAGTACTGCAGCCATGATCGGATGACAGCTCTGTGACACATAGTGCCATTAAGGTAGCAGCTGCAGCACTGATAATAGAGGATCAATAATGTAATGACTACCTTATTAGTAGATGTACACGTGCTGTGCTGTAAAGTGCTGCATTCATTATAATCATTATATTACAGGATATTGACTTTTCACCCAAAGCTACTGTGCCCTTTTGTTTATGTATATAGTACACTGTGTATTTAGATTGGTATATTAGAGAGTATTCTAATTTATTCTGTATAATGTATCGTGTGTATTCTTAGATACTCTTCTGAATATATGTATTTTCTCCTCTGAATATGTATATATTTGCTTTTAATGTTTGTTTAATTGTATTTGTATATTATTCTATTTTTAAGAAATAATGTAATTCCTGTACGATGAATGTTCCAAATGCTGCTGTGAGCTGCACTAATACAGTACGTTTGTATCTAAATGGATGGAATAACTGTATAAACCATCGGTGGAGTGTTGGAGCATCTTTCAGTTGCATTGTTTCAGTACACAGCCTGCTAAGCACCACATATCAGAATCAGCCAGCAGCTGGTGAACTAAATATGTGTTGCATGTTTAAGAAAACAGAATAGTTGATTAAAGCAATACTTTTTTTTGAATAAAATACTTCCCTTTGTTTTCAATAACCCACGTACCTGAACTCTTGAAGTAACTCCTTTGTGTCCCATGCCTTCATGGTGAATGGAAAGTTAGAGAAAGGTCTTGATAGTAGTTGGTAGTTTTGAAACATGTTTATATTCTAATCGTGTTTTCTTTTTTTATCTCTATCTTTACTTTTGCTGTCAAAAAAATAAATGTCCCCTCTGTGGGACAAACAAAGGTATTCTGATTCTAATATAGTTTTGTTGTTGTGAAACACAACCTCAATTGACTTGAACTCATCGAGATAGAATTCTTAGCTCACCCTTGAGGTATGCGAGTTTGCTGGTGAAGTATTCCTTCAAACCGTCAGGGCGTAGCACTCCAGTAACAGTAGCCATTAAGCATCCTGGTAGAGTTATGGTCTTAATTGAAACTGTTGCCATGGAGTTCTTTACCAGCTCTGACTGCAGTAGTTTAGAGGGGATATATTTCAATAAGATTTACAGTGGGCTTGTGGCGAGGACTTACTCATGTCCTTGGTATTTCTCAAATCCTGGCAACAAAAGACATTATGACCTCTTACACATTCACCATATTGTTCCGGATGTCTAATTGTATCAAACATGTTTAGATATTTGATATGTGCTCCACTCCAGCAGTAATTCTATTGTTTAAAACCATTTCTTTATTTAGCCAACTTGTGAATAAATATGATTCTCTTCTGTTGTGTTCTTATGTCACATGAATCCCACTGCCTCGAGGCTGCGTTCATCATTAACCTTCCAGAATGGATCCACTTTGCTCGTCGTCCCACACACTCATCTTGTGTGCTGAGATAAGTGGCTTATTCCAGTCCGGCAGCAGACACACACGCACTGTGATTATAATGCAGAGGGTGTTGTCTTGGAGATAGTGGTGGGGGGGGGGATTATGAGGCTAAATCCTGTATAACTTGCTCCCTCATTAATCTCAGAGGAGGGATAGAAGATTCTCTAAATGCTAATGTCCAATAAAGATGTCAGCAGTGACATTTTACAGTGACGCGCAGATGTGAGCGGAGTGACCCGTGTTGTTGTGGAAGAGCTTTCCTCACTCTAATCTAAACTCGCTTTCATTTCCTCTCTGGGGGATTACACAGCATTGAGTTATGATCAGCATATTTACGCTTTGTTGGCGAGTCATGATATAAACATTTTGTCCTGAGGTTGAGTTCTTGTCCTCACAAATAACTAACTTTTTGAAGGTCTCGGATTGTTTTCAAACTCAGGTTGATTTGCTCTCATTTAATCACAATGTTTACAGGAAATGAGTGGATGTCAATGTGGCAAAAAGACGAGGCGCAAACAGTGGAATACATCCTGCAAGCTCAAGGTGGTTCCAGCAAACATCCACGGACGAAACATTAATCCTGTGTTTCCTTCAAAGCATCTATTGATCAATAAAAAACAAATGACGTATAGACTTCCCTTTGTAGAGGATTAGTTTAACAAAAAGAAGGTAGGTTATGAAATGCACTGAAACTACTTCCTTTGCTCTTCTGTTCCAAGGACGCATCACTTAGAGAAGATCCCTGGTGAGGGGATTAGATGGTGTCCGACACGCTGCCCCTCGATGCTGCCAGACTTTCCTCAGTGTCCTAGTGAGCACACTAAAGGTTTGCATTATATCGATCTCTGCTCTCATGATCTCTGTAGGCGAACTCTGCGTCCTTGGAGCCGTGCGGGATTCTTCCGAACGGAGCGTGGTCGTTGGAACACGAGTCGAACACTTCGTCCACTATTTTCTGCGCCTCCTCCGCGCTGATCTTCCTCACAGCGAGGATGGAGCGAAGGGCGCGGTCTCTGACACACTCCTGTCCCAAGAAAAACATAATGTCAGTGTTCAGACGGTCACATCATCCTGACACATCCCAGAGAAGGTCCGCTGTCTCCGGTACCTGATGGTGCTGCTTCATGCCGAAGTTAAATCTGGACACTTCTGAGCTGAAGGAGCAGTCTCCACTCAGGTTAGCCGCCCGGATCTGAAAAGAACACACAGAAGAGTCCTTGTACAATCAGTGTTGGAGCTATATATTGATTGAAATGATTTATTAATAAAACCTTTATTTTCTTGCCGTTTTCGTTCATCGTAAATGCATCTTTTATTTGAGCGTAATTTAAGTGAATTTAAGTAGTTGTTTTATGCTTTTATTTTGAAGGCAGCTTTGGGCCCTGGGTGATATGTTCCTATTGGTGGGATCAGCACAGCAGTAACAGTAGAGCCATAGGAAAGGCTGCAGGGTAAGGAAAGGTGAGACCATTGTTAATTAGACTTTGTTCAAATAGGATAGGAACCGACATTCTTGCGTGGACTTGGATCATTCCCTGCGTAAGATTGTCTAGCTGGTGCGTCAGCGGCAGTATTCATTTTGAGTTTGAATGATTAAGTCTTAATGATTTTCACCGCTGCAATCAGCAAGAAAAATGTATAGGTCAGCAGAATAATGATATGAGAAAACTATTTAAAAACTGCCACCTCCAGTGATTTAAAGTAGCTTTAGGTTTGAGGCTGCTGAGACCATACACGCTCACAGGCTGACTAAGTGTTTGCCAACCTTGTGATGAGAAACAGCCGTCCACCAAATACAGTAAGTAACATTTGGTAAAATGATCAAGCCCAGCTGAGAGAGGGAATGCCTTTAGTAGGAGCCTAAATGTCTTACTATAAATGTCTTGTTTAAACATATGACCTGTATATTTTTGCCACATTATATATTATTGAATTGCCTTATGTGCTTGGTTTAAGTAAATGAATTATTATTATATTTTTTCTGACAAGCCAATATGGAGCCTGGCCCGGCTACACCCTCTTTCCCCCATGTACCTTTATACGGGCAGTAAAGCAGGTACAGCAGTATCACGGTTTTTGACAGCATTTTTTCGGTATAAATGTCTCCTTTATTAAACCTTTTCTTTTGTTGGGGTACTTATACCCAGCTATTTTGGGCTGTTCTACAAAACATATTGTGCTTTGAAAGCATGGGATCCTCTTCTTTAGTTTGGACTGCCATCATATCAACTGCATCGTCTCCTGAGACTCAGGGTAAGTCTGCCGCTTGGATTGTCTTTACATCCTGCTTTTAAAGAGTATTGGCAGAATAAACTGCTTATTGGAAATGTGAGTGTTTTGGCAATTTGTGTACACATTAATGTCAAAGAGCAATCTTTTCCACACAATGGCAGTTATTCAGAGACTAATATTAAACTAGCCACAGCTTCAGCAGCACATACATACAGGCAGACACTCAGTCTGACCTCAGAGCAGGCCAGGTGCCTCAGGTTGTTGAACCAGTCCACGTGGGCCCGGCAGTGGTCGAAGGCATGGATGAGCTCGTGTGTGACCACCCTGTTCATGTGGGACTGCTGGTGGATGTTGTTCTGACACAAAACGATCTTCAAACAAAAAATACATCTCATTATCCTTGAGCAGCAAACTCTTAACATGATCAGAACCTCATTAGTGTGCACATCTCCTACCTGAGAAGACGCCACGTCAAAGCCCCCGCTCACCGACCCATCACAATCTTCACAGGCAAAATGCCGGTCTCTGATAACCTTGCTGTGTCAGAGGAGGGCGTAGAGTCATCATGGTACTTTACAGACGTGGATTAATGATGTGAAATATAATTAACTCTTAAAATCAGACTTTAGTTACACATGGAGTAAATTGAACTTGTACTTTTACTTAAATACCAGATCTGAGTACTTCTCCCTCAGTTTATATATTTCATTCTAAACGATACTTACCATCCCGAGCTGTTCATGGCACTGAGGAGCAGTTTGGCGTACGGACCTGAGAGAGACAGAGCAGTTAGAGCTGAATGTGGATCAATGACAGGAGCCACTGAGAGCTACATGTGGCTAACGCTACCTGCTGCTACTCTGACAGCCAGCTCCCAACATGAACACAGCAGGAGGATGTGAAATCAACAACACATGAGACAGAAAGCACATCATTCAGCTGTCCCTGCTGACAGGACACCAGCTTGCTAAAACACTCACTGGTTTCCATTGCGAGCTTCAACATGATCTCACACTTGAATTGGGAAGTGAACAGGGACTTTACGAATGATTTCTCTTTCTTAGGCCCCGTGTTTCTCTCCGGGAATAACTCGTATCCATATTCCTTCTCTTGTTTAGATTGGTCCATTGTGTGAAGTGTTAGCAGGAGTTAGCTACAGCTAGCAAGCAGGAGAGAGGTCATCACTGTTTTGTAGATCACGTGGTCGCAAAAGGTCAAAGGTAAAGAATGGAAATGGTTAGTTATCATTTAATTTCCATCACTTTTATATCATAAAGTACATAAACATAACAAACTCCAAAAGTCAATTAAAATCATATTTTACAAACACAGTTTTGTTTTAATAGTATACGGTATAGATCGTTTATTCGTACCGTGCAGACAAGACGTCAACTTCAAGCACCAAAACAACTGAGCCATTAGACGTGTGCAAGCTGTCTTTTAGAAACTAGAAAATAATAGTTTTAACCATAGACTGTATATATAAGGTTTTAACACGACACGTCGTTGTAAGTATATATTTGTTTACATTTTGTTTTGTGAGGTGAGTTTATAGTATAATGTGTCGTGTTCTACGGTCTACCCATGGCATGGATGTATAGGGTCTACCCATTTTCAGTCAGTTTGCGATTTTAGTTTTGTAGTAAGTGAGTGTTCGTAGTATAGAAGATCTTTGTTTCAACCAGCGCAAAGGCTGCTGGTACTCGGCTGTCATGGCTCCGAACGTAAACAGAGAGTTATAAATACCGACACATTTTACTTTAGTATTTAGCCAAATTAACTGCAGGGACATTATAACTGTAACTGTCAGGCAGAGAAACACTTCACAGGTACTTTAGAGGGTTCAAGGGTCTACAGGGTCACTTGAATGTACTTTATTTGCTCTAAATGCTTGGTATTTGTGCTAGCTACGTTAGCTATCTAGCTGCTAGCCTCACGCGCATGGCAGCATGATTCTCGTGTTTTCTACAAGGTAAACATTTCTGAAAAACGAATGTGTGTTTGGCAGGGAGAAACATGTCCGCGGGAAACAAAGCCATTGAGTTACAGCTCCAGATGCGGCAAAATGCGGAGGATCTGCAGAGCTACATGTCCGAGCTGCAGAGCTGGGAGACGGACATCAAGAAGAGAGACGAGGAGCTGAGGACCGGAGGACTGCAGCAGGACCAGGTCTGTCTGTCTGTCTGTCTGTCTTTATACTTTGTGCATATAAAAGCACACAATATGCTGATCTGGTATAATGCAGTAGTGTAGTACTAATATAAACAGTATTTCAAGTATATTCATTTGGTTCACATCGAGAAAACCACAAAACTAAAATGCTATTACATGTAAAAAAAAACTGGATAATATAATAATACCCATAACAATAAAACACTGTGAAAACATCCATTCTGCTTAACCAGTACTTCAGCTGATACTACCTTTCTACTTCTAAGTCAGTACCATTTTTAGTTTAAGACCATAGTATTTGTACTTTTACCCAAGTAATGGATCTGAGTACTAACCCAACACTATACGACGCTGAAGTTGGCTTCCGATTCAGAGCATCCGATTCGGCAGTTAAGGGGAAAGTTAAGGGACATTTAATTTACAGCGCTGAGCGAACAATCCTCCGTGTTTGAACCTCTTAAATCGCTGCAGAGCCGATTTATGTGGACTGGATTATCCCAGAGACTCTAAAGATTCTTTAGAACACAGTTTGAGATTTGTGAAACCTTAATTCTATTTGTGAAAATACAAAAAAGGAAGATTTTGCTGCTTTTTTTTTTACATCTAGACCACATAAAACCAGGTCCTAATCTAAAACCCTAAACATCTAAAAATGTTTGGTTTTTGTGACCAGTTAGACTCATTAAGGCCATTGTTTCCCTTTATAAGTGCAAGTGGATTGGAGTCTTTCAGAGCCTGTCACAGTTCCAGATCATACCAGTGTAAAGCTATATGTACATTAGTAGTTATGTCAAAAAAAGTATAAACAGCATTAATATCAAAACTTGCTAAACATGCTCATGTCTTTATTATATTTGTGTTGCAAAGGTCATGCCACAGTCTGACAAGCATAACTAGTTTAAGAATTCAAAATGTAGCCCCCACTTCAATCCATAAAGCATTCCAAATACAAATCATGTGCAGTGCTCATTAGTAGCCGTCATCCCATGCAGTAAATACACTGGGACCCCAGCAAGGCAGCGTTACACTGGTGAGTTCATGTGAAAGGATTTCAGGAGCCTTTTTGCTTCATTTACATTATTGTAGTGGTTTGAGTAAGAGTACTTTTTAGAAACTCTAACAATGTATTTTTGAAAATGTATGAAACTAAAACAAGTCTCCATACCTGTTAAATAACAAACTAACTTTCTACGAATACATTCAAGATGTTTTTTAAGATAGACTATATAGATGTTCTGAAGCCACTGTGGCCTCAGGATGCTTCAGATGATTCAATAGCTTTAGCCAATGAGCTGCTGGGTCAGGTGAGGCTGCAGCAGCTCTGTGCCCTGATGTGAGCTATCTGTCTTTAGTGGTGTTCTACGGCTCTGTGCCTGTTAGCATGTTAGCCTAGCTCCTGCTGGGGGACAGGCCCTGCAGTTTGTGATGGACTCTTACCGCTGATGCACTGGCAGAAAGAACATCATTGCGAGGCCTGGTCTCCTGAAAAGCAGGTGCAGCCTACCAACAAGAGCAGGGAGGAGGAGACACATGTTGGCACAGTCATGCATTACAATCATAAAGCAGAACAACAACAACAGTTAGCCAAAAGCAAAGCAGCATGAGCAGAACACTGAGAACACGCTGTGGGGTCTCATAGCAACGCGGTGCAAATTATTTATGACTGGATCATTTATGAATTGCTGTTAAAGCATAAACAGTTAGAATTAGGGATGTAACGATACCAAAAACTCACGGTACGATAATATCGCGATAACAAGTCCACGGTACGGTATTTATCGCGATATTGAATAATATAGAAAAAAAAAATTCAAATTTTTTTTTCAATACAAATTTTTTTTACTCGGGAAATGTTTCTTTATTACATAATAAATCTGATTTGTACAGCATTTTAGTAGGATAGCAGTATTTTAAAGTGTAAACAAAGTGACAGTAACAGACTGGAACAAGAAAACCAGTGTTTTTGTACCTATAGTACTACCAAACAAAGTAGGCATTTTCTTTGTGCCACTGCATCTCACACATAAACAAGGACATTTAATAATCAGACCCTGCAATAAAATAAATCAAGTTTCACTTTAGTTTTTCAAGTAACTCAACTCAAACTCACTAAGTCACTCACTCAGCATCATCAGACAGGTTTTTAGGAATATGAGAATGTCCACATTTCCAGGTATTTATAAGCTGGGATGTTTGGGCATTTACAATATCCCCTGCTCTGGAAAGAACTCTCTCGCTTGGTACTGATGTTGCCGGGACAGCAGTGGTCGCGTTAACCGAATATTTTATTTATCAATGACGGGAAAATCTGAAAGCAGTCTGTCATTTTGACAGATTAGAACAAACTCGGAACAGCGCCAACGTTTCCCCGCAGCGAGGCTCTGGTGTTATGCCGTGTTATGCATGCCCTCCAAAAGGAAATGATATAGTTTCCAAAGCGTACTTTGCCGTACAGATCAATACATGTCTGGGAGGTTTTGCTTTACGCTGTGTGCGCTGTGTACGCTGTGTGCGCTCCCGCGAGGTGCATGCTTCTCGTTACATCCCTAGTTAGAATGCTTTAGTAAGTTTTGCTTTAACTTGAATAAAATGATCCTGTGAGGATAATAAGTTCATTTGAAGCAGACTCAGGGTTTGGGAGAAATAGGACCCAAATGCAGTAAAAGGACTAAAAGGTCAGGTAACAAAAAGCTAGCTTTTTAAAAAGCACTGAAATCTCCCTTTTTTTAATTTTCACAAATAGAATTAAGGTTTCACAAATCTCAAACTGTGTTATAAAGAATCTTTAGAGTCTCTGGGATAATCCAGTCCAGATTTGATGAGTCTAGGTCTAGTGGTTTTAGATCAGGACCTGGTTTTATGTGGACTAGATGTAAAAAAAAAAGCAGCAAAATCTTCCTTTTTTGTATTTTCACTAGGGCTGTCAGTCGATTACAATATTTAATCTCATGATTGTCCATAGTTAATCGCAAATTAATCTCACATTTTTGATCTGTTCTAAATGTACCTTAGAGGAATATTTTTCAAGTTTTTAATACTCTTATCAACATATGAGTGGACAAATATGCTTTATGCTAATGTTTATTATCATTTGAACAATGACAAATATTCTCATGAATATTAAACACAATAACCTGTGTGTGTGTGTGTTGTTAACCTGTGTGTGTGTGTGTGTGTGTGTGTGTGTGTGTGTGTGTGTGTGTGTGTGTGTGTGTGTGTGTGTGTGTGTGTGTGTGTGTGTGGTGTGTGTGTGTGTGTGTGTGGTGTGTGTGTGTGTGTGTGTGTGTGTGTGTGTGTGTGTGTGTGTGTGTGTGTGGTGTGTGTGTGTGTGTGTGTGTGTGTGTGTGTGTGTGTGTGTGTGTGTGTGTGTGTGTGTGTGTGTGTGTGTGTGTGTGTGTGTGTGTGTGTGTGTGTGTGTGTGTGTGTGTGTGTGTGTGTGTGTGTGTGTGTGTGTGGAGAGACGCTGCAATCATGTTGCGCTATCCGTGCTGACTGAGCGTGCTGACTTCTCGTACAATGTCCCACTGTCTGGCTTCCTGCATAAAGTCAAGTGCTCGGCGCAGTTGTCGGTGAAATGTCGCTCCTCTGTTTTCATTTAAACAGCTCCTTATATCCGTTAGCGCAGCTAGCTAGCACCAGATGCTAACAACAACAATACACATAAGTAGGGATGCTCCGATCGATCGGTCACCGATCGAGATCAGCCGATACTCACTCTCTACCGATCGATCGGTGCTCTCTAAACATGCCGATCGCGAGAGCCGATCACATGACGTAAAATACATGACACTTTTCTCTGTGTGCGGCAAAACAAGCTCGCCAAAATGGCTTCACCGGTCTGGCATTATTTTAAGGTGTCCGAAAAAGACAGTAAAATAGCGATATATGCAACGTGTGTGAAGCAGAAATCCTGCAGCTCCGCCTGACAGACCGGTGAGCGGAGCGAAACACACACTAAGAATTAGACCTAACACACTTAGCTATTTGATCTACCTCTGGGACAAGCCAAACTAGTTATTATAAATATATGTATTCTTCACTGTCGGGTCACTCATTACTGGATCAGTGAGCTGCATGAGATACTAACAGGCTGTCAGGAGAGGGAGAGAGGGGGAGAGAGAGAGGGAGAGAGGAAAAGAGAGGCTTCCGCTCATTCCTCCCGTGTTATTCTCCAAAGTGAATGTAAACTTGAATAATGTACATCATTTGAATG